AAAAAAAAACAAAAAAAAAAAGGGAAAAAATCCAAAACTGATTAAAAATGCCCCATCCCCTCCAGACGTCAGTAGTGCACGCGCCCCAGAACGACGCCACGTCCCCGTGCAGAGCGGGGCCTGGGGACTTGGCCCTGCAGGGACGAGTGAAGGGGGCAGGCAGGAGGGGGAGGACGGCCTTGCCAGAGGGGCTACCTTTGGTTCTGGGTATCTAGCATAGCAGGGCCTTCCACGTTTGAAATTCTAGGAGCTAGATAAAGATGTAACTTAAATATGATTTCTCTGAATAAATGCTGCCCTGCATTCATACCTTAAAACTTTGGTGTTTCTGGGATTTTCCGTCCTTTAGTTATGCAGGTGCACTACGCTAGTTCCTGCAGAGCAGCCAAACTAGCTCCCAATTTTCCGAGCTTGAGGTGCTTGAGATGACAGTAAGAGACAAAAGAATGATGCTCAAAGTGATCCTGCTGGAGCAGCAAGGGTTGGACAAGATCTCCAGAAGTCCCTTCCAACTGCTACTGATCTGCAGTTCTGTGAAACAGATCTTGCTGGCCACACTTGATACCTGTGCTTGGTCTGCATTTTATTTTCCCTTGGCAAGAAAACAATGCCTTGGTAAGAAAACATGCCTTAAACTTGAAAGGTAGCACGTGACAGCATGCTGATAAGCCATGAATTCTACTGACCTGTGAAATCTGGTGAAGGTTTGTCTAGGTCCTATTTTGTGGGAAGCGGAAATAATATCAGGAAGATGATGCTTACCTTGAGAAAAGACACAACAAGTATTTCCTAAATTGTGAATGGGTTAGTTTCATATGCAAGGCATTATTCCTTTTTATTTGAGGTGCTGTATTGTGTTACTGTTGATTTTTCACAAGATCCAGGGGGAGACTGTAACGCAATGAAAAAAATTACTCGTTTCCCTCCCAAGGATCATTTCCTGCAAGGGCGTTTTGACAGGTGAATTAAGTGAATTATAACAGCTTCTAAACCTGTGCTGTTTGTGCCAAAATAAATTCAGGGCTTTAGATTAGATACTCTAGGAGTTTTGCTCTGCTGACTGATTTCTTTTAGCCTTGGTCACAGATGGAATACTGGACCAGGACAACCTATTATCCCATAATACATTATAGGCTTTTTCTTTTTCTCCCCTTTTTTTTTTCTTACCATCAGCACTGTGTATTTTAGGAAGTTAAAAGATAATTTACACTTTGGCCAAGGATATTTTAAAGCTGCTTTAAATTATGAAGAATTCTGGATGCTTACACTGGGCAAACTTTTCCCACAAAATAAATATGACGGAGTGGTAGAAGAATCCATCCCACTGCCACACAGGAGAAAGAGGTTGAGGTTAAATCAGGTAATTGGTTATATTACGCTTATACAAGTGCAGATCGTATCACAGCCCATTAACTTCCATCTCATACAAGCAATTATGTCCTCTGAAAGCACAAAGTAAATAAAGGGTTATGGATAGCTATTCTGCACAAGGAAGATGAGCTGATCGTGTCAGAAGGGAAAATCGCCTGTGCTCTGACAGCCGGATGAGCCAAAGCACTCGGGAAGATCCTCTTGCCCCCAAAGCCCGAGGCAAGGGGACAGGAGGGCTGAGTTCTGCTCCAGCGCTTCTGCAGCACGTTCGGTGTGTGACCTAGAGCAAGTCACCAATTCTCGGTTCCTCTTTGGTGAAAATGATGATGAAAATGATGATGAAAATGATGATGGCAATGATATTTATTTTCAGCAGTGCTCTGAGAATTCATTCAATTTATATTTACTTTTTTTTTTTTTTTTCAAATTCCTCTCTGGAAATCACTGAAAACATTAGGGTCCTACCACTACCCCACCACATTATTAGCTGTAAACCAACACAAGTGCGTTGGACCCAAGCTTCAGCCCTACTGCACTTATTATCACAGAATCACAGAATGGCTGAGGTTGGAAGGGACCTCTAGAGATCATCTAGATCCAGCAGGGACACCCAGAGCACGGGGCACAGGGTGGCATCCAGGCGGGTTTTAAAGATCTCCAGAGAAGGAGACTCCACAGCCTCCCTGGGCAGCCTGTGCAGGGCTCTGTCACCCTCACAGTAAGGAAGTTCTTTCTTTCCGTCTTTCTTATTCTCACTATTTGTTCTGTCAGAAAACACCAGACCATTGGGATATGAAAATCATTGTTCAAATCACAGAATCACATACAGAATCAGAGAACGCTTAAGGTTGGAAGGGAACTCTAGAGATCATCTAGTCCAAACCCCCGGCACAGGGCGGCATCCAGGGGGATTTTGAAGATCTCCAGAGAAGGAGACTCCAGAACTTCCCTGGGCAGCCTGTTCCAGGGGTGGATCAATCAAAAATCAAAGTGCAAAATTAAAGTGCAAATCAGTCAAGTACAGGAGAATATCAGGAAAACCCAAAAGATTGGCTAGGTGCAGTAGCTCTCTAGGCTATCTACTTTGCATTTATATTCCTGACTTTCATGCCTTGTTTGCAGTATTAGGTTAGTCTCTTTGACATAGTATGGCTTTTCCTATGCAAAATTAGGCTGTAGCTTTTCGGGGTTCCTTATTATTTTGTATTGTTACTTGTCCAAAGAACTGGCCATGGAAAATTGCATCCTGTGTAGCCACTAATGGATTCCGAATTAAGAACGTGTTGAAGACAGTGGAAAGATTTTACACATCAACCTCAAATAAATACAAGTTTCCTGTTCTGCATCCTCTGAAAAGCTGTTCACTGGCAGACAAGAAATAATGAGGAGTATCATGATTTGGTATTTGGTAACCAGTACCTCATTACCGTGAGGAGGTAACCAGTAATGAGGTACTGGTTACCAAATTAGGGCATGTGCCACATGTTGGGAACTATTGCCTAGAAATCTGAATTTCCAAGGTTTGATCAGGAGTTGAACAGGTTGAACAGGAAATGAGGAGACTCCAAAGGGCACAACTGCCCCAAAGGCAGGATAGCTCCAGAAATAAGCGAATGTCACGGCTGGTGACCTGGAGCAAAAATGGGAGCAGAAGTGTCAGGAACATTGAGTCTGCTCAACACGGTGCATCCATCACACCTCTGAACACCAAGGAGCAAAGAAACACACGCAGAAGATACTGAGGGAGCAGACAGACCACCAGAAAGCTGGCGTAAGAGTCAGTTTTGAAAAACGCAAGCTCATTCATATACGTATGGAAGACACCTGGGAACCGGCTGTTGAAGAGGAGCCTAAGGGGTGAGGGTGGGCAGAAACACATGCTGCGAAGGGGAAAAAGGCCTGTGTGGTTTTTGGCAGCGCATTTAGGAGCGGAGATCCAGAAGAAGGGCGCTCAGAAGCGTGTGGTCAGACAGTAAATTGTAAGCTGTAGACAGCAGAGTCGCTTTATTTTATTCTTTTTCCCGCACAGCTGCACCTTGCTCTGAGGGAACCCAGCCACAGGCCAGGCCGCTCCAGGCGGTCACAACCGGTCAAGAAAAACAAGACACAGGGAAACCAGTTTCAAACGTGAGGAACGCAAAGAGCAGCGAGGCTGCCTGTAAGCAAATGAGCAAGCAAAGTAGCCGTAGCACGGTCCAGAAGCTGGGGGGAGGTGACTCCTTCAGGAGGCAGGATTAGGAAGAGCGTAGGGGCACTCTGCAGGCCGGAGCCCCTGCGGACACCTGCTGCTCCTCCAGGAGGCCCAAGGGAGCCCGTCCTCGTGGCAGCGAGGGCCGCGCAGCGGGGCGCGAGGCCGCGACGCCGTGGGGCAGCGCGCTCTGCTTGCAAGCACCTGCAGCGCCCCATGCCGCGCCAGCCTCCCCTGCGAGCGCCGGGCCGCCCCGGCCCTGCTTCGCTGGCACCCACACCTCGGAGCGCCCTGCTGGGCCGGGGCCAAGGCCAGCGCCAAGCGCCGTGCCAGACCTCGGAGGTGGCTGCGTGCGGGGTCGGGCTGGATGGCGGGGAGCAGGGGCCGGCATCGGCGGGAGACGCGGCGCGTTGGGGCCGGGCTGCCGAGGCCGCCGTGCGGCCGCAAGCCAAGGCGAGCGCGCTCACACGCTCCGGAATAAATCTGCTTGGTAGGGTGGAGTCTGCCTTGTCCTTGCACTACATGCAAATTATATCCCCCGCAACCTCGCTGCAAATATTTTCTGGTTTCTCACACCCTGCCCCGGGCAGGAGCCGGCTGTTTTCACTGCCGATCCGCTGGCTTCTCTCAGAGCTCCGAGTCTGGGCTATTTTGGCTTTAAAGACGCAAGAGAAAGTTGCAGGAAAGGGGCAAGTTGCAACGAAAACAACCCACGAGAGACGCCGAGAAGGGAGGCAGGAGCAGCGGCGCAGCGAAGCCCCGCGCTGCCCGTGGCCGCGCCGCGGGTCGCAGGCAGGCGCCTCCCGCGCTCCAGACCCCGCAGCCGCCCACTCGCTCCACAGAGCTGGCCGCCGCTCCTACCTGCTTGCCCGTGGCGGCCAGGCAGAGCAGCACGAGCCAGCGGCCGGCCGGGACGGGCATGTCGGGGAGTCCGTCTCTGCCTCCTCTTGTCGCTCCTCTTCCTGCCGCCAAACAGAAACTAGATCCTTCCAACCAAGTCCCCAAGCGCCAGCAAGAGAGTAAGGCGCATTTGAGCCGGTTACTTCTCCTTCTTCCTTTCCTTCCTCTCAGCTACACGAGGGGAGAAGAGAGAAGAAGAAAAAAAAAAAAAAAATAAAGCCTGGCTGTAGTTCCCAGAGCATTTCCTCAGACTTGACATGCAGGGTTTTTTTTCCCTCTTCTTGTCCCTCCCTTTCCTTTCTCCTCCCCCTTTTACAAGAAGTTTAGTCACGGCGCCCGCGTTCCTCCTCCTGCCCACGGCAGTTCCCTGCCCTTCTCCTGCCCTCCGGGGCCATCCACCTGCCTGCCGCCCCACGCATCCTCCCTCATCCAGCCTGGTCCTCCCTTGATGCAAAGAGGCACCTTCTGTCCTGCTGTCCGGACTCTTGATACTGAACTGCCCCTTTCCCCACTCTCCTTCCAGGGGACAGCGAGGTGAGAGGACCCAATGCCACACACTGGGTCAGTCCCAAGAGATGCCTTGAGCTAGTGCAGAGTGGCCCCCCCGCTCCCCAAAACGAGCACACTGAGGGCCCAGTGCCCGCAGTGGCAACAACCAGCTCCATGTGGGGCAGCCCGCAATGTCCCACGCCTGCTGGGAGCCTCGGTGCTCGTTCCCAGGAGACAGGGGAGCACAGGGCCACGTGGGAGCGCGGGTGGGAGGCCGGGCAGGCAGCCCCGCGAGCTTACACACCACGTTGAGGTAGGTCAGGAGTGCGCGGCCAACTTGAACTGTGAGTAAGTTGGGCTTTCAGCCATATATTTAGATTTAACTTGATAAAAAAAAAAGTTGTTTATAAGTTATCCTATGCTTGTAAATAAATAAATAAAACTGAACACAAAAATGAAGGGGTTGAAAAGCATTTGGAACTACTCTGCCCTGTTCTCTGCTCAGAGGAGGGATCTTCAAAGCCAGTGAAGATTCAGGACAAACAAAACAGCTGCTGGATTCCTCCCTCTTTGAGCTAACGAGAAGAGCTCACCTACACACCAAAAGCAAGCCCTGGCCTTCACTTCTACACCATATTTGGAGTTCAAAACATCAACTCTTTATGCGCGGCTCGTCCGCTGGCAGGTTCCCACCCTGCCCCGTGCAGGCCGGGAAGGGCTCAATGCCCACGTTCCCATGCGTCCCATGCCATGTCCTGGCGGGCTGGTGGCGCTGGCCCCGGCTTCACAGCGGGACACGGGGCACATTAACCGTGCTGGGTAACGTGCCGGGCTGTGGGCCAGGCGAGGGGTTCTGCTGCACATCCACTGCGAGAGCAGGTGGGCGACGGACCTGTTGGGGATTTTTAGCAAGCTGCAGAGCCCACTAACGTCACGGAACTGTCGCGAGGGCGCGGGCGGCGAGGCTGGCAGGGCCCGGGCGGCGCTCCTCGCGGGAGCGGGACGCTCGCCCCGCGCTGCAGCCTCGCGGCCCGGCGCCGGCAGCCGCGCACAGAAAAGCCTTCGGATTTACAGTACAAGGAAACGTTTCTTTCTAAATAGAACAGCCTGTTCTGTCTCTTCCTCTTTTTGCGTTCAGCACAATAGCGGGACTATGAGCAGTGCGTGTTTACCAGCTGCTGGCCCCCGCCGCAGATTTACAGGAGCAAAGGCAACGTCACGAGCATTGCGTCGGTTATTTTCCTCGTCTTAGCAGGAAGGTGTGGAGTGAAGGGAATCGCTCTTTGGTTCGCAAAGGGAATTGTGCTGCAGACAGCCCAGGCCTGCAGATCAGCTCGCTCGCTGCTGCCTTCTGCCTCCCCGTCGCACCCGCAGCGCTCGTTCCTCGGGCTGAAATTTCTCTGAATGTCGTCTCCCACTCGGTGAAAACAGCCTGTTGTTGAAAGCTCAGTCGTTTTCTTCCGAGCTAGAATTTGAGTTTTTGAGTCCAAACCCACAGAAGCCACTACTGGGTGCTTGGCAGTCTTAATTACAGATTGCAGCAGATTGTCAGAAACTGAAACACAGATACTTGAAAATATGAACAAAGGGAATCTATAGGAAAAAGCTCTTGCATTTTTCACACACGTTATTCTATGCAGTTCAAAGTTTTTTTTTTTAAGCTGTCAAATTCCTTTTACAGCTTTTTCTGTTGTGGATTTTTTATTACAGAATATCATTTTTTTTCTATAAATAATTACAGAATATCATTAACTTTTCAAAAACACACTTTTGAATAAAAATGGAACACTTGAATATTTCAAAGTCCTGATAGCGTGAAGGGGCCTCCCATTTCTGTCGCTCCCCGTGGCGTGCCCACCCAAACCACACTATCCTCTGTGGTGCTCTTTTTAGTGGAGAGAGATGGAAAACCATGTACTGCCTTACAGATGCAACAGATTCGATATGAGGGCACCTTCCTTGGTGCATTCTGCTGTGGAAAATAAATAGCAAACTTTTGATAACTTAGCAGTTCTATGGTAAATATGCATCTCTTTTTAGATATTAAAGCAGAAACTGCAGATAATATTTTAGAAGAAGTAGGTCAAGCAACAAAATACTACAACCTTTGTAACTTTCTGAAACCACTTAAGCGTCAGGATAAAAATACCCCTTTTCCAGGAGCTTTGGAAAACAGTGACTAACTCCCAGACAAACAGTGGATTTTCTGCCTGCCTTTTAAAACCTTTCAACACGAAAAGCAAAGATCAAAACCAGTTTGGTGGACAGAGCAATGCCCCGGGATGCGGAACAGCTTCACTTGAACCACGCCACTAAATTCCTCTGGCCCTTCCTGCACGAGAAGCGGGGAAGACGTTTTGATTCCTCAGCCTCCTGGCTGCTGTGGATTGATGGGGGGCCAGAGATGAGGGATTGTGTTGGATCCAGATCAAGGCACTAGGTTGGGATTTGGGGCTCTGAGCTAAGCGCAGCCTTTGCCAATACCAGCCCTTGCCTCTCGGCCAGGATGGGCAAGGGATGAAGCTGGAGCTCGGGCACAGTCAGCACTCCGGGAAGGAGCCGTGTGGGGCAGGGGCCACCTTGGAGGCTGCTGGCCACCTCGCAAGCAGCGCCGCTTCCGCAGCACCATCCGTCATGGGGCCAGGGAGAGCTGCCCCACGCGGCCTCCTGACCCACCGCAGGGGACAGCCCCGCTCTGCTATCAGTATATGGAGCTCCGTACGCTGCATTAAAGGAAAGAAAAAAAGTCAAGAATATTCACATATTCAGCACAGAGGCTTTGAGTTGAGGTCTTCAGTTATTTTAATAAGTGCATTAAAAATCTGTTGCTTATCTAGACAGATTCATGAACCAAAACATGCCATCAACTTGAAACTGTTTTTTCTTCCTGTGAAGGGCACATTTCCATAGCAGGCTATTGCCAAATCTCCTTGAGATTTGCAAGCATGCATATTGTTTTTTTTCAGGGCAAAGCAACCTAACCAAGTCTGGAAGTAACACTTGGTGCTGTTTACATGCAACACACTTTTGACAAGCCCACAAAATGTGTCGGTGTTAAATGCCTGTCCAAACCCTGAGATTTGCAGCATTCAGCAGCAAAGAGTTTGCTGCCAGCCACCACTAGCATGCAGTGTTTGAAGAGCAGGCACTGAGCTGATTACAGCATTACAAGCGCACATTGAGCCGATACATTATCCCCCACCGCAGTGGCAATACCTGCATTCTCCTACAAGGAAACACAAACTCATGGTGAATTTTTAACCCTGGGCATTTGTTGGTGCTTGTGAGGGACACGAGCCTGATGATCCCAGGGGGGACTGTCGCCTGCTCCCCCTCAGGACGAGGGCAGCACGGACAGGAGTCAGGGAGCTCTCCTTGCACTGCCCCAAAGCAGCTCAGCCTCTCGCCTGGCTGCAGAGCTTCTTTTGGGCCAGAAAAAGGCTGGCAACCTCCTCCCACAGAGAGCGCCGAGCCCCTGCATTCCTTGGGACACACCAGCTCCCAAGCCACCCAGCTGCTTCATCTAACAGCACACTAAACCCACGGTGAACTCTGAGAACTCACCTGAATGCTAAGATGACTCAGATTCAGATCAATAGCACGTATTCATTCTCCAGCAAAGGTTCAAGTTCATACGGAATCTTAGTGCCTATTAAAAATTATAGCTGCTCCTTCCCAGTTCCCATTTCCCAAGGCCCTCGCTGGTGTATTTGAAGCCAAAGAGCAACAAGTTCAGCCCATCGGTGACCAGCGCTCCGCAAGGAGCACACGCTGTAACCTCTGCTGAGGCGTCATTGCAAACACCATGTGTTGTCTCCAGCGGCCACCCAAGCCAAAGAGGATTGTATTCCCTTGGAATAGGGAAAATTCCCCACTGAAGTGAAGGATGAAGACCAGCAGCACAAGCCTACCACGTTTTGGGCATTAACGTGAGTTAGCAAGGACCCCACGGGCAGCACATGCAACAACAGAGCTGCTAGGAAAGGAACTGGGCAGATGACTGTCATCGTGCTGGTCCCTCACCACAACGCCCAAGTCATCTCGTTCAAGTCACCGATTTCTACAACAGAACTTCTCCTTCTGGAGGTTTCTGGAAACTAGACATCTTCGTTCTAAGGAAACATTTCACTGCATTGGAAGGATGATACTCACGAGTTGACAGCTAGCAAGTAACACGGCTGCCTCCAAGGAGGTGGGCTGCTTACCACGGATTGAACGAACACTGCAAGCAACGTCATCCTCTCCCACAAATTACCCATCACACGGAAGAGCACTGAACGTAAAGTGTGTGAAGAACCTAAAAAACACCTTAGAAACCACTTCTTTGGACAACAATTACTCATTCACAGGCGCTTGTTGAGATTAGTTAGAGCTTGGTGTATTATCATACAGCATTAAAATCCAGGACCTGATTAGCCAGTGACTACACGCTTCTCGCCTTTCTTTAACAACCTTCAATCTTTACAGTCTAAAACAAACCAGCTATTCATATCCTTTTCCTGATCTGAACTGGGGGGAAATTTATCCTAATG